ATGCCAAAATATTGGAAATAAGGAATCAGTCATAAAATCGTTTGTGAAGTCGATCGTTCCTTGAAGCCCGTAGGTCTACCAGCATCCATTTCTATGGACTTGACAAAATGTTAACTTTTTCAACGTTTCTGCGCAGGCGTACTTTAAAAGGAAAACATGAAAATGGTGAAGGAATTTTCCTTTTTTGTGTCACAGGATTTGGCAACAAATATAGTTTAAAAATCATAGCTTTTAAAACTTGAAAAAATATTGATTATGATCGTTTCCTGGGATTATTTTGTATCAGGTTTTTCTTGGCTCAATTCGGATTTACTATATCTAGTATCAAACATAACATATTTCAACTCAGTTTACAAAATATTGCTGATGTACCACCTGTCTACGTGTCAAGCGTAAAGATTTAAAGTTAAGTCAGGATAAGATACGGCTGAATTAAAGATTAAATCATCGAAATCTACGGTCCTGGAGATTTGTAGGAAATGTCTGGAAGAATCCTGAATCCGCTATCTTATGTATAAATGATTGCAATTATCTCCATAACAAAATATACGAGCCTTATGTATGATTAGAATAAGAAGTGGAAGTATATGGGAGTAGTCTTTGATATATGAAGGCACATTCTGTTTCATACATTTTTCAGCATTGCACGATCTTACGATCTCTATCTCACTATAGCTTTATATCAAGTTTACATTATCAATTTAACCATTATACAACTCTCTCTCTCTCTCTCTCTCTCTCTCTCTCTCAGAATTGGGATCTCCTAAAAGGAAATATCTACTTTACAAGCAGAATTAATACTTAAGATTTCGTTCCTTCACGCAAAGCGATGGAGGATAACGATTTGCGTGTGTCGTGATTTTCTTGTGCTTAGTCGTAACCTAGTGGCACTACTCGCCTTATCTTCGAAGACGAGCCTGACTTTTTACTACATTATATGAAGTCAATTATTCGATCAGTAAAACATAATTCAATCATCTTGTTCTGGTCGGTACTGAACATTGGGGACTTCTAATAAGATCAAGCTAATTTCATCGGACTTCACATTCAGAGGGCACAAAATTGCCACTGGTTTGATAAAGCAGGAAAATGTCATGTCCTCTATGACCATATTTCTAGTGTGTTCGCCATTGGCTTGATAATAGTATTGTTTTGACTTCTTTTGGATGTATTATGCAGTGATTATTCATCGGTCTTGAGGACATTTTATCCCTGAATTCTCGATTAATCTACTTACATTAATAGATAATACATACATATATTATTACAGGGTCAAAGAGAGGTGAGAAGAACTCTACAAAGGCGGAAAATGATATACAGACATCATCTGCATGAGACACTCACCCGCCATTAATGTGATAAAAGAGAGAGAGAGAGTTGTAGATTGAATTTCTTATGTTCTAGAAAAGGTACGCTTTGCTTTAAAAAAATATAACGTTCATGGTATATAGAAGATGCATTTATATGACAATTGGCTAAAGACACTTTAAAAAAAAAAACAGAACAGAGGCGTAGTCACAAACTTAAAAGTGGGGGGGCTCAAGTCCAGAAATTCTTTGACAAGCAAAAAAAAACAAAAAAAAAAACTTAAAAGTGGGGGGGGGGCTCAAGTCCAGAAAATCTTTGACAAGCAAAAAAACAAAAAAAAACAAAACAAAAAACAAATTATTAAAGTTCCCCAAACTCGAAAATCCTATTTCGTGGGGGGGGGGGGGGGGGGGGGGGGGGGGGGGGGGGGGGGGGGGGGGGTAGTGGCCAACTTTTTTTTCAATGGCAAATTATTTTCAATTTCAATTTTTCTACACAATTTTATTATACAACTATGTATTACTATTATTTCATATATCTGTGATTTTGTTCTTCATTAAAAAGTGGGGGGGCACAGACATACTCTTGCCCCCCCACATCTGAAAGTGGGGGGGCTAGTGCCCCCGCTGCCCCCCCTGTGACTACGCCTATGCAGAAGTAAAATGGATAAAGTTTTAACAGGATTTCTCGAGGAAAAAAATGTATAACGGAAAAGTGTAAAATAGGAACATCATAAAAATCTTAATTTTTTATAATTAAAGATATTGATATTTCTATGCGTTAAAGAAAAGAAGTCTAGATAGATTATGAAAGCGAAAATAAAAATTAACTATAGTGTATTTTCAAAATCATTTGTAGCAGGGATTCTGAAAAAACAAACCAAGAAATCAATATTTCAGATGAATGGTTTATCAGTATTAGTTATTAATAATGATCATGTTACTAATTACGGCATTTTATTTCAACTGCACTCAACTATGGTTTTACCTAAAATGCTAATCGAAAATTAAAAATAATGACCACAAATCTCGCGAGATTTAATGAGTTAACTCATTTTGATTGGCTGTTAATGTCTACTTAGAACATCTATCTGCGGGAGCCGTATCTTGTTCTCACTCCTTCTCCTGCACTCCTTCTGAGATTTATGATCTGCTACATCGTTGACATGGCCATCAATTCAAGCCCAAGAGAGGCTTCTTGAGAAATGTCTATTTTATAATCTTCGAGAAGTCTTAAACAATAATCAGCATCTCTTGATAGACGAGAAAAAACGACAATTTGAAAAATGAAGCCCTAGTAATACTTGAAACTACAGAATGCTGGTTTTGATTTAGAACTCTTGCAGGAAAATGTTTGTCTTACACAGGCCAAAATAGAAACTCTAACATTGATTTTACATTATGTCAACGAGGATTTCAAGAAAATCTAGCTACTGCAATATAACGATAATAATAGGGTTAAGCTAACATCACATTCATTAAGACCAGTAATTCAATTGTCGATAATATTGATAACATTCATAAAATCAGTTCCTCGTGTAGAATCTATGGAAAAAGCGCCATTTTTGTTGTATTTTGTCTTTCATCCGCTTCTTTATATAAAACCAATTCAGAGCTTAGAGAAATATCAGCCGTATGGGCCAAGTGTTTGTTAACAATTCATCGTGATCAGCAGGTCATCTTTTTACTTCTGATACTTTAAAATTTTCATTGATTTCACGGTGTGGAGTACAGTTATGTATTAAGAAAAATATCAAATTTTTATATATTTGTTTTAATGTAGTTGTATACATTTCAGATAGACAGGTGCTGGCGTATCTGAAGTCAATATTGACCATCATAAAGTAGGTTCTATTTCGTTATAGGATGTTGAATATTTCAAGGATTATTACTTGATGAACCCCAGAAAATATTGATTATCGTTATTAAAATGAAACTTGTTGTTCTTCTTTAATCACGTATCTTATCCAATATTTATTCTTCAGAGTTTTAGAACGTATATATCCGCAAAAGATTGGTACTTTTTGATGACCTTTGGTCGAAACATTTTTTGTATTTTTTTTTTTTTTTTTGTTTTGTTTTTTTTTTTTTTTTTTTTTTGTATTGTACTTACAATGCATAAAAACAATTATCTGAGATATTCTAACGTACATTCTGTTCAAATAAAATACACAGATCGCATCTGTTGGAAGTTTTTAACATGTGCTCTCTATAAAAAGTAATGCTGATACGGAAATTTCCACTGCTTTATAAACATGTTTGATTCATTGATACCTTCCTTTTAACTTACTCAACAACTAATAATACCTATTCTACAGCAATTTTCAAAGAAATTTTAATTGATTTTGCATACTCGGAATTTTGATTTTCATTACTGATGATTAACATCTTTGATTTGTTCGCTGTATGAAAATAATCTAATAAATCGAGATCAAAGTTCTCAAAACTTTTACATTTTATTTACCGTCAGCAGATGCCTGTCACTGTTTCTACTAAGCGATAAAACTAAGCTCAGCGTTTGTGGTATTTGTATTAATAGTTCACAAAAGTTGAGGATAAAAGACTTCACCCGAGGCATTAATATTAAATGTGATTCATTCACAAAACTATATTTTCCACTGTATTATTACAAATTACTCGTGTTTCCAAACTTCAGTGTTTTTATGTTAGCAAACACGTTTTATGGTTTCAACATTACACAGTTCTTATTATACTCTCATTATCATTTACACATGTACTAATCTACCGAACAGTTGAAATTCTAAAGGATAAATACTTGCAGTGTTGGCTTTTTAAAAAAAATCTTTTATGTTGTAAATTTTGAATTTCTCCCACAAAATAAATTCAAAGAATAATGCATAACAGAATCTTTGATAATTTCATTTAGCTGCATGTCTTAGGTGTTTTGCATAGAACAAAAAGACATGTTTCTATTCATTTCCTTAATTTTGATAATCAATCTTTAACTATATTACCTTTCTTATAGAAAGTCCTTTGCAATAGACTTAAAGTCTCAAATAGATACCATTATCGTAAGCTGCATCAAATATGACGTTTATTTTCTTATGAAAATATAAAGAAGTATAGAAATGAACAATTAGCGTGTTTGGATTATGGAGTTTACACGTGTCTCTTTCTATTCTCTGGCATATGAATCATGACAAGGCTAATTCGTGTGGCGATAATCATTTGAAGACCCCACGCAGATTTCTTTTTTCACTGCTGATTTGTTTGTCTTTTAAAAAAGGGAATTCCTTCGATTTTTCACTGGAACAAAATACCGCAGTTTCATTGTATTTTTTCATATTGATTGCAATTTTAAAACCAGATTTAATTTATTTATCAAGGGGTTTGCATCGTGTTACATTACATGAAATAATTAATTAGCGCCTCTTATGTCAATCATATTAGAAAAAAATATATATCATTGTCCTTTTGTGCTAATGCAAACATTATGAAAAACTTTGACTTCCTTATTAAAGTGTGATTTAATTAATTTCCCAACAATGCCGTATGGTTTTAATCGCTGTATAATTATCGACTACATGCATTTGTTATCGATAAAACAGTCGCAACAAGGCTGATACTTTCCTGCCCTACGATATGATAAAGATTTTTAAAGTTTCTTTCGCAGAGGGGAAATGAAACAAATGGTGTAATAATAAAGTTCTATCATACAAAATGACTACTCACCTAACTGTCCAAATTCACGCCTGGAACTTTAATCCGAAGAATAATTGAAAAACAACTACTTTCTTTAGTTACGTTTACAGCGTATAGTCCTCTGTATGGCTATGATCGATCCCAGCAAGCCGAAAACCTCCAATCGGCAAACGTGCGCCCTCGATAGCTACTGTAGGGAGGGACTTGCATACTTAAACATATCCCTCACCACAGCGGCCACTCTCAAGCGGTACTGTGTTGTCGAAGGTGCTGTCAGTAGCAGAATCGACAGGTGTCGCTACTGTAGCGAGTCTGAATCACTTGTCACACACACTACGACTGAGTCTGGCAGACAAGATTCTTATTTCTCGTCATAATCATTAGCCTCCCTTATATAAAGCACCAGTTTTCAATTACGAATTGACGCAATCATCCATGTAAGCTACAGTTTTGAAAACAACAGATTGTTTACAATAATCAGAGTTATTTATGACAAATAATGTCTTTTACATAAGAACAATAATGTTTGTGTGTCGAAGAAACATCGTTATTGGATCCCAAAATAAAAAGCCTCAGTCTGTACCAACCTTTGACAATTCATACAGCTAAGCGCCGACAACCTTGGTTGTGGAGTTGTTAACACAGCGTACTTCCTACAACTTCCTAGATACCTGCTCCTTTCATGCAGTGTTTATGTTATTTACCTTGATGACGTGTATATAGGTACATATTGTACCTGTCCAAATTAATATGACATGGAATGACAATTCCACGTCATTAATACCTATACACACACTTTCCCATCTCTCTTCTCTTAAATTTCACACGGGGCTATATCAATTAATTCCACCTATTGCACTTATGGTGAAGTACGGATCAATAACTGGGGTCTAATTAGTGCTTTCTGTTTTAATGCTAATTACACTGCTGTTTTGAAGGCATCGTATTTATTGGACATTTACTAGATTTATATGTCACTATCTATTCTATGCTCCTTTGAAAGTTAATTCACAGTTTAACACCAGGAAGCAATAGAATAAAAAATAAATGCATTTCTAGAATAGTACCATCACGGTTAAAATAATTTTTTCATACAGTTTGTTAATTTCTAACATCCCACGTAGCTGACTCACGAAATGGGATTTTTTCAAGTATATCAAAGATTTAATGTTTGAAAATGAACAATGCAGGACAAATAGATAGCTTTATTTGTATCATTAGCTATCGTACATGTAGACAACTGCTTCTTCAGCAAAAATGGAAATTTTACTTACTATTTTGTGAATGGTCATCAACAAAGTGTCGTTGTTTAAAATCATTTTTGATTCTACACACGAGTACTCTAAAGATGCTATGACAAAGATACTCGAGTCCCTCATTGACACCATTTATATGGTCTTCAGAGACCAGGACCTCCAACAAACTGCTGGAATTCTGATGGAAACTAATTGTGAAACATATGGCGATAACGAATTATAGTATTCAAGATCAAAAGTCCATAAAACAATACAAAATAGGAACAGAGCAAATACGGACCTCCAAAACATCAGAGGTTTAATCAGGTGCCATGGAGTAGTAAGTATCCCCTGCCGACCGGTCACACCCGCCGTGTGCTCCTTGTCATGGTCGGAAAATAACGGAAAAATCCGTGGTCAATTCAGTGTACAAGTAATGGACTAACAATTAGTATGAAAAACGTCAGTCATTTAACTCAATGAGAAACTGTATTTGCTTACAAGGACGACCATATCGACCATAGAACTTCGAAATGATAACTTTAAACAAGACAACCGATATTCATGTTTCATCAATTGTTTCTCAATAGTTTACCTCGTTTTAGAAATTGTTCATACATAGAGCATGCTCTTGCGTATCGATTCAAATGAGATATACGAGGGTTGTTCGAAAAGTTCGTGGACAACTGTCATATCTTTTTTATTTGACGTCATATGTTATCCAAATTTGGTAGAAATATTTTAACAATAATTCCAAATGATATTTATTATTTTTGGCAAAATATTACGATTTATTAAAAACTTATCCAGATTTTGAAAATGCAAAAATCGGATAGCGGAGCAGGTCACAATTTAGTCAGTTAGAGACAATAAAATAAATAATGTCTATAGTCATATTCTCTGTAAAATGGAGGAAAAACGAAAACTACCTAGAAATTCAAATTAAGAATTGTTGCATCGATACGTGTACCAAATAATGCTTTTATATCTTGCTTTGTTGAAAAGAAATCAACTTGAGAAGATAGGTAGTCCTTATTGAAAACGACAAAAACGATGACGTTTTAGAACGTCACGGAGCAGCAGATACCGAAGCAATTTTGTGTTTTTCTCAGGAAAAATCCTGAATAAACTCTAAAAATGTTGAAGGAATCAAGAAAATATGTCTCAAGCGATTTGTGCATGTGTGTACAAAAAGTAAAGGCAATATCTGAGTGACAGAGACTCTGTATCGAATGAGAATGACCTGTGAAGAAACGGTTTTACTGTAAACATCTGAACAAAACTTAAAAATTTGAAACGTAAATGAAAGACAAAGGCGCTTCAGAGTTGCTTATCCTGTGAAAGCAGAGTTAAGTACTAAAAGAAATTAAAACCTTAACAAAGGAAATTATACAATGAGACAAATTCTTAAAAAATAAATGTCAAGTATTAAATAAAGAATTTAATGAATGGGCATTGGAATACTCTGTGTGAAAAGTATAGGTATAGTATCTATTATAAATTCTCGACGCTATGTGTTGACGTTACATTGCCGTTTTGCGTGCTCCGCGGGTACAAAACAGGTTGATTTTAAAATGAAGTAAATTTATTTGTGTTAAATCGAATGGAATGATATTTCACACATCAACAAAACAAATATTTTTACATATTATAATGTGCTTGTTTAAAATTTTCAGTGAGTAATATAACGAACATGAAGATCGTCCACGAACTTTTCGAACAACCCTCGTATAAACTCCGTATGCAGGTGATGAAGATATATTGCTGCATAAGTATGGGAAGTTGACGATAGAAAAGTTAAAGTCATCACGTTTATCATGGAGCTTGGTTGTTAGATTACCATTAACGTCTTTTTCAAGTAAAACATCCAAATATGAAACAATATGTCTCATACTCTGTGGTATCTTTTATCTCAAACTCACCAGGATATATCGTATCGACATAAGAATGGAAATTATCATTGTTAATTGACAATACGTCTTCCATATATCTTAATGTGATTGTCGGGTTGAAGGCCACAGCAAGTGTTTTCATCTGTTTATGCATAAGATTTTGCACATATGTTTCATATGAATACAAAAATAGGTCGGCTAGTAACGGGGTGCAATGTGGTACACACAGGAATTCCAATAAATTATTGGAAGACCTGGTCTCCAAAAACAACATAAATATTGTCAATCAAAAACTCAAGCATCTTTTTGATTTCAACTTCAGTTAGAGTACTTGTGTGTACAATCAGAATTTTTTCCCTAACAACTGATAACTGCTTTGTTCTTCAAGCAAGTGTATATAAATATATTAGTAAAAACATAGGTAGAATGTATGCCTGTTTATAGATTTCTCAAAAGCCTTTGATTGTGTACAACATAATATTTTATTGTATGCACTATTCAAGAAAGGAGTCAGTATAAATATTTTATTGATTTTAAAGTCAATGTATTGCCAATTAACATCATGTATTCGAAATCAAAATCATATTTCAGACTTTTTTCATTGTAATATAGGCACTAGACAGGGTTGCATTTTAAGTCCTCTCTTATTTATCATGCTTATTGGTGAACTTACAGAATTACTAGAATCAATGGAATGTAAAGGCATATATATACACTGATGAGACATTTCCTAACATTATGCAATTACTTTTTGTTGATGATGTAGTTAATTTTACGGATATTGTTATCTACTTACAAAATCAAATTAAAGTATTAGAAAAAATTTGTTACAAGTATGGCATGAAAATTGATTCACAAAAATCAAAGTTCATGGTGTTAAGACGTGGAGGTATAACAAAAAGTACAAAGAAATGGTTTTTTGATGGAAGAGAAATTGAAATTGTACCATTTTACAAATACCTTGGGTTATATTTCACAAGTAAAATGTCATGGAACTGACAAAGAAGTCTCTGTGTGTGTGTCAGCGGAAAAAGCATTGTTTATTGTGTATAAATTCATGAAGATGTATAATGCATCATATAAACAAATCTTTTGCATATTTGATAGAATGATTGTACCTATTTTGACTTATGGTGCTGAAATACGGGGGTACGGGTTATCTAGATGTATGGAACCTATACATACAAAGTTTTGTAGAAGAGTTTTAAGACTCAAGAACAATACACCTGAAATAGTTGTACTAGGAGAACTGGGGAGATATCCTCTTATGGTACAGTATTTTTAAGAAATTTATTGCATATTGGTTAAAGATACTTTGTACGGAAGATGATAGATACCAGAAAAGATGTTACTTATTTTTACTTCAGTTAAACAATGTTGATAGAATCAGAGGTAACTGGGCATCAGAAGTGAAGTCAATTTATTTAGATATGGTTTCATTATGTATGGCTTTATCACGGCGTAGGTGATACTGTATTGTTTTAAAAGAGTTTGTACAAAGAGTACAGGATAACTATATGCAAGAATGGCACTCCTCATTGAGCTCTAACAGTATTTTTTTATTTTTTTTTTTTTTTTTTTTTTTTTTTTTTTTTTTTTTTTTTTTTTTTTTTTTTTGTAAATTCAAAATTCTTTTTGAATCGGAGAGGTATTTTATGGTGGCATATTTCTGCCCCTTGTGTGCAAGTTATTTTTCTATCAAATATGTTGACATGCAACATAAATATGTTGACATGCAAGGTAGTTATGTCAACATGCAACATAAATATGTTGACATGCAAGAAAATTGCAATCAAATAAATATTTTAAAAAATCTCAAATATCGCCCACATGTGACATCCAACATGCTAGATGCTTCTTATTTATATTAGCGTGCACAGTAAATATGTTGACATGCAACTTATTTATATTCACATACAACTTATTTATGTCGACATGCAACTGATTTATGTCGACATGCAACTTATTTATGTTGACATGCAACTTATTTATGTTAACATGCAACTTATCTTGGTTGACATGCAGCTTAGTTATGTTGACATGCAACTGAGTTATGTTGACATGCAAGATAAATATGTCAACATGCAACTTATTTATGTCAACATGCGACATATTTATGTCAACATGCAACTTATAAGTTGCATGTCAACATATTTATCTCGCATGTCGACATAAATAAGTACATGTCAAAATAAATAAGTTGCATGTCGACATAAATAAGTTGCATGTTAACATATCTAAGTTGCATGTCGACATAAATAAGTTGCATGTCAACATAAATAAGTTGCATGTTAACATATCTAAGTTACATGTTAACATATTTATCTTGCATGTTAACACAAATAAGTAGCATTTAGCATGTTGGATGTCACATGTGGGCAATATTTGAGATTTTTGAAGATTTTTTATAATTTTTATTTCATTGCAATTTTCTTGCATGTCAACGTATTTATGTTGCATGTTGACGTAGCTATGTTGCATGTCAACATATCTATCTTGCATGT